TTCTTAAAATCAGCAAGAGAGAGGTAACTCATCATGTACAAGAGATCCTCAAAAAAACTAACACTGATTTCTCAACAGAAAACATGGAGGCCAGAGGGCAGTGCACAAGATACTAAAAAAGGTTGGAAAAAAAATGATTGTTGACCAACAACTTTCTATCCAGCAAAACTATCCTTCAAAAGTGAGGGAAATTTTAAGACATTCTAGATAAACAAAAATGGAGAGAAATTGTCACAAGCAGATTTACTCTATAAAAATTCTAAAGAGAGTTCTTAAGGCTAAAATGAGAGGATACTTGACAGAAACTCAAATCCACAGGAAGATATAAAAAGCACTAATAAAGGTACCTACCTAAGTAAAAATAAAAGACAGTATTAATTTATTTTTTGTTTATAACTCATTTTTAAAACCTGATTTAAAGATTAACTACATAAAGTTAATAATTATAAGTCTGTACTGGTGGGCATACAATATATAAAATGTGTTTGTATGACAATAACACACAAAGGATTGTGGAGGGAATAGAGTTATATAAGTGCAAAAGTTTCATATACTATTAAAATTAAATTCATATTAATCTGAACTAGATTATTTCATATTAAAATGGCAATTATCAACCCCAGGGCAACCACTAAGAAAATAAACTATACCTAGTAAATAAATAACAAGGAAATTAAAATGTACGCTAGAGATTATCTATTTAACATGAAAGAAAGTAGAAATGGAGAAATAGAGGAACGAAAAGACACAAGACATACAGAAAATAAATAAAATGGCAGATAAAAATCCTACCTTATCAATAATTACATTACATGTAAATGGATTAACCACTCCAATCAAAAAACAGATTGGCAGAATAAATTTAAAAATTAAAATAAGTAAATAAAAATAAAATTTTAAAATATCTAACTATATGCCATCTATAAAATACACACTTGAGATTCAAAGACACAAAAAGATTGAAAATAAGAGCATGGAAAGAGATATACCATGCAAATAGTAACTTAAAAAAAAGTTGAAGTAGCTATACTGATATTGGACAAAATAAACTTTTAAACAAAAATTGTTGCTAGAGACAAATAAGGACATTTATAATGATTCAAGTTTCAACTCATTAAGAAGGTATAACAATTATAGACATATATATGTAATATACATACATATACGTATGTATGTATATATATACATATACACATATATGTATGTAATATACATATATGTATATATATTACATATATATGTCTATAATTGTTATAGATATGTTATATATATAGATGTTATAGATATGTTATATATATACCTGTTATATATATAGATATGTTATATATTGATATCTATATAAGGATAGGTTATATATATCTGTTATAAATAGCTTATATATATATACACATATACCATGTATATACCTTATATATATATGTACCTGACACCATATATATATACACCTTACACTTATATATATATACACACACACACACCCCTTACAATAAAGTTCCCAAATAAATGAACAAAAACAGGCAAAGAGACTTCACTTGACTCAGAATTTAAAGCCAAAACTAATAGCAAGGGACTAAGATGGCAAAATAGGAGGTTCCTGAAACTCCCTCTTTCATAGACACACCAATGAACAGCTACACATGGAGCAACTACCTCAGAGAAACCCAGAAACAAGCTGAGTTACTCTGACATGTAGGGTGACTGAGAATATCTCTACTTCTAAAGGAGTAGGAAAGGCTGAGACATACTTTCTCAATAAACCCTATCTCCAGTAGACCACCACACAGTCAGGAGGGAATACCCAACTCCCAGCTTTTCCCTGAAGAGAGAAGGGTTTGGACCATACCTCTAGCACTCCAAGTTTTAGGGCTCCCACCTAAGGGACAGGCCACCAAACCACCTCGCTCTGAAAACCAATGGGGATTGCAGCCAAAAGACCCATAGGACTACAGAAAACAAAGAAATAGTTCTTAATGGGCATGTGAGAATTCACTACAGCTATCCCCCCAGGACTCAGCTAAGAGGAAACAGGAAAAATGCCCATTTTTTCAGCCTTTTCTTGGAGAGGGACTGACTGCATACTTTACAACCCACTGCCCTGTGGTCCAGCTGCTAATTTACATGCATCTACGAGCAAGGTGTGATTTTCCACGGAGCCTGGGGTACCTGGGGGGGTACTTCCACCACCTTTTTTTCCCTAGCTTGCCACAATGACAAAAGCAGGTCACCAATATTTCTCTGGAAGGAGCATGTACACACACACCTGGCTTATATACTTTCCTAGCTGCCATTTGAGGGTCCAGCTTCTAATCAGCCTGCATTTATATGCTGACTGTGATTTTCTCCTTTGGAACATCATAGGGCCCTTGCACACCCTCAACTACTGGGAGCCACTAAAAAACAAAGATGGCAGCTTAGACCATCACAAAGGTTTGAGAGACAAACAGGAGGTTGGGTTGGGTTAATTGATGAGGTTCATCTCCTACATGACACCAGACTTTCAAAACTGGGAGAGGTGTTTGTTTTATCCAGTGTGCAGAAACCAACACAGAGAGTCCAGGAAAATGAAGAAAAGGAGAAATATGTTGCAAACAAAAGAACAAGATAAATCTCCAAACAGATCTTAATGAAACAGAGATGACGATTTATCTGACAGAGTTCAAAATAACAGTTATAAAGATGCTCATTTAGGTCAAGAAAGCAATGTGCAAACAAAGTGAAAATTTCAACATGCAGAGAGAAAGAATCAAAAAGTACCAAACAGAAACCACAGGGCTAAAGAATAACTGAACTGAAACATACAAGAGTGGGTGGGATTCAATCGCAGACCAGATAAAGTGGAAGCAAGAAACAATGGCCTCCAAGAAGGGCCAGTCAAATATGCCCAGAAGAGCAAAAAGAAGAAAACAGGTGGCAAGTTCCTTGTCATTGTTCTTGGGGATAATTTTTTTTTTTTGTATTTGACACCAAAAGCAAAAGCAACAAAAACAAAAATAAATAAATGGGACTGCAACAAACGAAAAAGCTTCTTCACAACCAAGGAAACCATCAACAAAATGAAAAGGCAGTATTTGCAAACGGCATATCCTAATAAAGGTTTAAGATCTAAAATGTACAAGGAACTTACACAATTCAATAGCAAAAAAACAAATGACCCAATTAAAAAATAGGCAAATAGACCTAAATAGACATTTTTTTCCCAAAGAAGACTTAAAAATGGCTAACAGGTACATGAAAAATTCTCAACGTCACTAATCATCAAGAAAATACAAATCAAAACCACGATGAGATGAGGCATCACTTCACACCTGTTAGACTGGCTATTACCAAAAAGACAAGATAAATCCCAGCAAGAATGTAGAGAGAAGAGACCCCTTGTACACTATTGGTGGGAATCTAAACTGATACAGCCCCTATGGAAAACAGCATGAAGGTTCCTCAAGAAATTAAAGAGAACTATCATATGATCCAGCAGTCCCACTTCTGGGTATATATATCCAAAGGTGATGAAATCACTTCTCAAAGATACCGCTCTACTTCCATGTTCACTGCAGCATTATTCACAAGAGCCAAGGTACAAAAACAACCTAAGTGTCCATCAACAGATGGATGCATAAAGAAAATGTAGTGTGTATATATATATTTGTGACATATATATTTATTTATTTGTGACAACACTGACTAACCATACCATTCTAAGGAAACAAGCCAGACAGAGACAGATGAACTCTCCATGGTATCACTTATATGTAAAATTAAAAAAAAAGAGAGAGAAAGAATGGTGGTTGCCAGGGACTGTGGGGTAGGGGGGAGGGAGATGCTGGTGAAAGGGTACAATGTTTAAGTTATAAGATGAATAAGGTTTTAGGATCAAATGGATAACATGGTGACTATAGCTGATAATGCTATATTTAAAATTGAGATTTGCCCAGAGAGTAGAACTTAAGTGTTCTCATCAGAAAAGAATAAAAAAGGGTATATATGTGATATGATGGATGTGTTAATTAACTTGATGGTGAGAATCCCTTCACAATCAAATTATCACAGTGTACACTTTAAATGTCTTATAATTTTATTTATCCATTATACCTCAATAGAACTGAAGGGGGAAAAAGCCTAAAAGTAAAAAGAAAAGGTCAAAACTCAAGGTTGACTTTTGAATGAATTTGAAGGAAACGAGAATATAGCTCTTGTATATATATCACTGTTGGATAGAGAACACTGACTTAGGGCCGTCTGGGTGGCTCAGTTGGTTAAGTGACTACTTTCGGCTCAGGTCATGATCCCAGGGTCCTGGGATTGAGCCCTGCATCAGGCTCCCTGCTCCACGGGAAGCCTCCTTCTCCCTCTCCCACTCCCCCTGCTTGTGTTCCCTCTCTTGCTTGTCTCTCTGTCAAATAAATAAATAAAATCTTAAAAAAAAAAAACACTGACTTAGAAGACAATCAAAATGTAGTAAAAGAATAATTCAGTAATTTTTTAAGTGGGATTTAATTAAGTGGATTTTTAAATGCATTCTGAAAAATTAACTAACATTTTTATTTTGAGAGGAAAATTATCCATCTATGTCATGTCTATTTGAGTTTTGTCTTGTTTTTCTTCACAGATAAGATAACCTGAGCTAAATGCTTTTCTATTAACGGTAAAGCAAAATGGCCCCTGGGCACTGTGGAACCCAAGCTAATAGTGAGAAGAGGGGAACACAACACTTTGGACAACTGAGAATGACAATCCTAACCATTTCAAAGATTAGGGCAGAAAGTCAGAAAGACTTGTTCCACAAATGATTACTTTCTACTGTAATTCTTGAAAATTTTGAGGCTACAGTGTTATCAATTACACTGGGGGGGGGACATGATGTTGCCCGTTCTATTACAATATAAATTATGGAGAAAAATAAGTATCTTTACATTCCATATGATTTTAATGTACAGTGTTATTAGTATCATGGTAGTCCAGAATAGATGATGATGGGATTTCCTTACAGTAAAGGTGGCACTTACCCATTCGGAGGCATTCTAGAGAGGCTTGACCCCAGTTTCTTGTGTATGAAGACTCGATATAGTAGCAGTGACCATGGAAAGGAATCCAAGCTGTGTGTTCTGACTCTGGGCATCTGCCGGGCAGCTGTGGGGGTTCAGTGGCAGGGATTTCTGTTAATAAAAAGACATTTAAAATAAAATAAAACCTGAAGTTTCTGCAATATGATATAGTAGCAGCTAAGGAAAATTTTATCGCCAATCATTATTTTTAAGAAGTTCTGATGGATCATTTGGATCTGCCATTTTTGTTATTGGGTGTTCTTTGTACTTTATCTTTTTGTTGTCATTTTAAATATATTTCAATAGACTGTATTCTGGTAGATTAGAAATCAATCACAGTCATACTGAAGAAGGCAGATCTATAAATACTTATAAAGATGTTAGGTCCCTTAAAAAGATCACCTAAAAACAATTTGCAAAGGAAGCCCCCCTTCAAGACACTCTTTTCTGAAATCATAACCCCTATTAATGCTTGTTAGCTATGACTGATGTCTATGATAGAACTAAATGGGACAGTTAAAACTCTAGGACTGTATCCCTGTCCCCTTCTAGGACTATAGTCTAGGAAAGCTAAAACCATAATATCACTGATTCTGATTAATCTATATGCATTCTGATAAAAATTATTTTGATACAGATGTGCTGTTGATATAAAAGGTAATCATAATTTCCTGACAAATCTGACATCAGAGATGCAGAGGATAATCTCAATAATAAAAATTCAAAAATCTAAAAAATGCAAATAAACTCTAGCACTGAAGAAAATTTTCTATGTCCATTATTGGATGGAGATAGAATTGGATTATTTAGATTATTTGGATCTATTTTATTTGGATCTATATATATTTGTTTGGATCTATATATATTTGTTATTATTTGGATCTCTATATATTTGTTTATTACCAAGTCAGTCTTTTGTTCAGTGAAGGGATATGTTTTATTATCTTATTCTTAAGACCTCCAAGACATGTTACTGTTTAATAATACCAGTAGTGGTATGTATTGGCTAATTGAGAAAATTTCAAATCCCTTGATTGTCTTTTTTTGTATTCAATTACCATCTGATCTTTTGCAGAGAAAATAAAAACTTTCATTGCAAGATGCTGTCTTCCAGTAGCCATCAGGATCCAGATAAACACATGCTGATTTCAGTCTGGGCTCATCAGCAGCCCAGTTAGTGTACCTCATCCTCCATTTGTCAGTCCAAGCATACTCATTATTGGTCTGCAAGGACAAAAGCAACCATTAACATGGAGTCTTGTCTCATTTAGAAAACACCAAAAGAACCTAGTGAGGAGTAAAAGTATATTTAAGACTGTGATTTGACAAACGATCTTCAACATTTGGGAACAAAAAGGACATTTTATAAATCATTTCTACCAACTTAAATTCAGGAAATGTCACCTTTCTTTAAGAGAGACTCTTGGAGTTCCCCATAACTACATCCTTGAAAGGTAATTTGAAAAACACAGACTTAAAGAAACCTATGTCTTATTCTATGAAACTTTTTCTTCACAGGTTTTCAATGTAAAATACAAATTTTGTCTTCAGAACAAATAAAATATGTATTATATTATCACTGAAATGATAATAAAAATTAAGTAGTTTTCATTGAACTTATAGACCTTGGAGAGAAACACTAATCTCTTCTGATCTTCTCATTGTTTAGCTTTTGAAAAAGTGCACATGCAAATGAGAGGTGAGGTCAGCTGGACAGGTGACAGGAGACTAGGTGGCTTGCTTTCCAGTAAGGTGGTCTTTCAACAAATCATGATAGTAATTTTTACACAGCTGATTTTTTAATCAATTTGCACACTCACTTTCTTATTACATTTAGTAGAATGAATTTATGATCACATAAAAATTAATTAATAACATCAAAAATATTACTTATCAATAATATCCTTTAACAGCCTAAGAGAGATTTCACAAGTAATGCTTAAAAAACATGATACATAGTATTAACGAGATAAATGAATTTCAAAATAGTTCAAATAGTCCCCATTTTAACTGCATTACTTAACTTACCTAGCCAATTACAAAAGATTTAATGACAAATTCAAAAGCATGTGCTATCCCAAGTTAGGATTTTGTAGTATTCTACCACGTTTAATCGCATAATGCTTACACAGTCATTAATTCCACAAATATAAGAAAGATAATACTACTGTTTTAATTACAAATGTTGGTATAGTGGAAAAGCTACTTAATCTTTCCAAAAATAAATAAAAGCCTATTTTAAACTCATGAGAGAATTGTGACCATGTCTACAAGAAGAAAATGAGTGAACTATTAAGCAAAGTAATCACTAAAAATAGAGTCAATATAGACATAAAAATGTCTTGCCTAAGTTTAATCACAGAAATCATTGTGGAACCACTTACTTTTAAATGTTCACTTCCTTACTCAGGAATTACTCTGTGCATGAAGTGTACCTTTTGACCTCTGTAGCACAACATTAGAAGCTCAATCAAATCTGACACCAAACTACTTTCCAGTTCTATCTCCTTCTGCCTTTTTCTCTCTTAGTGGTACTCCTTCTTTCTGTTCCACCATCCCATATGACATCTATAAAGCCCGCTTTCTCTGAGAAGCCTTCTCGACCTTCTTCCCTGACTCAACCCATCTCTTTTCTCTCCTCTTGTTAGCACTTTTATATACCTCTCTTTGACATTTTCAATCTTGTCTCTTAGTTACTTGCAGATATCTCTATTTCTTCTATTAGGAAGTTTGCTGGCTGGCTAGCTAAATAGATGGAGGATAGATGGATCACAGGGAATCAGAGAAGACTCATTACAGGTATATTTTGGCAACTTCATCACCACTCTTAGTTCTGTGCCCCCCACCCCCTTCCCCCACCCCAATTCTCTGCCAACCTGCCTTTTTCTTTTATGGAACACAGAGAATTGACTGCAGTGAAATTCTTCACACAACTTTAGGACTGATCACTCTAGAATGGCTTGCCACAAAAAAGTAAAAAGTTCCTCATGACCCAAGAACCATGCCCCTGATCTGTTTTCTTAATTCCAATGGCACAGTTGTAATTGGGACACTAGAGAGGAGTAAATTAATAAATAAAAATGTTTAGATGCAGAATCTAATTTTAATATTCAAAAGCAATATTAAAGTTAATATAAGCTATATAAATCTTAGTTTGAATTCTGACTCATATCACTAGCTTGTTAGATCCTTGAAGGCATTGGATCCTTGCAAGATTGGATCTAGTTCACCTTCACATCATTCACATTGCCCAGCACAGTGTCTTACATATAACAAACGCCCAACAGAATGAACAGAAAGAGAATCATGTTTAATCACAATGTATCAATCATGTCAAGTCACACATATTTCCAGCATCTTACCAAGTTACTGTTCAGGGCGATCCACACAGGTTCATTAAATTTTTGCATTTGCATCCATGCAAATGCATTACTATAGGGATCTAGAATGCTAGCAATAAGGGAACTGTGAAGCTTGCAATACTTCTCTGCTTCATTCCACTCTAACTTTAATTTCATGAGTGAATAGTTACTTTCACCATATTTAATAAAGCCATCTGTTGGAATTGTTGTTGGAGGATTAGGCAAGGAAGAGTCTGGAACAAAAAGATTCATTTTCATTAGCATTCTCAATAAACATACTTTGAGTGTTAATGGTACACTTTACTACCATATCTCATACATTATAAAAATAATCAGAATAGCATAAATCTAAACCATCGGGTGCTAAAAATATTTTCATGAGTCATTTCACACCAAAAAACAAAGCTCTGTTTTTTAATCAGTATGGCTGGTTGAATGAAATAATTTCCAAACTGTATTTAGACCATTAATATAGATATGTAATCAAGTTTCTAAACTAAAAAAACCCCAAAAACCAAAAAATGAAAAGAAAAAAAAAAACCAAAAGGCTTGCAAATTCAATGAGATCTAGTATCTGAACAAAAGAAATGACACAGTTTAATCCCATCAATTAAAGAATATCTATCATTCTGTCATTACTAATCTTTATTTTACCACCTCGGTCATATTTCAAGGTCACCAACAGTCTTCCTCCCCCTTCTTCATCTGTTGTACCCTCTCCATGAATTTGCATCTCTTTGTATCTATTTGACTCTACTGTTAACTCACCTTCGAGAGCCTGCTTTAAGTTTTGGCATGAAGCCAGACACCAGTCCTGGGTTCATTTAACCCTTATCCCGGGATCAGGCTTTTCTCCTACTAATGATTGCCTACGCCTTTCAGCCAGGCCTCCCATATCTTGATCAAACTGACTCAGGGGCTGGAGCCTAAGACAGAGTCACTTTGGCTTTCTGAACTTCTTTCCTCAGTGTTCCAGTATGAGTTTCTAATGGCTGTTGTAGGCCCACCCATCCTTTGTGCCACTTACTGTCAACACCCCAAAAAAGAGTTTCTTTCTGTGTCCCTTAACGGATGTCCTAAAGTGAGAGGTTAGCAAATGACAGCCAGAGGGTGAAATCTGGCCTGTTGTCTGTTTTTGTAGCCAATGAGCCCAGAATGTCTTTTAAATGGCTGACCAAAAAAAAAAAAAAAAAAAATCAAATAAGAATAATACTTTGTGACATGTAAACATTGTATGAAATTCAAATTTGTGTCCATAAATAAAATTTTATTGGAACACAGCCACATTCACTTGTTTACGTGTTGTCTATGACTGCCTAGTATCATGTCAGAGTTGAGTAGTTGCAACAGAGAATGTGTATTTACAGCCTAAAATATCTACAACGTGTCTCTCTACAGAAAAAAATTGCCAACTCCTATCTAGGGTTCTAGATGTCCTTGCTTACCAATTTTGTCTTGGTTAATTCTCAGACGTGTTCCACTATATACTGACCTAATCTACCATCTGCCTTGTTCTGTCACTATCCCAATGCCAAACGTGCTTTTGATTACGCCTAGTATGGTAATAACTTTATTTCAGCAAGGGCAGCTTCCCATTTCTTCTACTGTTGCTGCCACCTTGTGTTGGTAGAAGAATATCATTAAACCAAGAGACCCAGACCAGCACCCTTCACATGGTACAGCCTGTAGAGACTGAATAGTCTTACCATTTCCCAACTTGGGGAGGTCTGGGTTTGTCTCAATACCCGTGGGAAATTTGGCGACCACTAAAAGTGGCAAATGAGGCTTGAGGTAAAGCTTAAAAAAAAGTTTCATGGAAGGCTATATGCAATTAGGAAACAGCTCATCTGTCCGACTGGTTTGTTTATTAAAACATTCATAAAACAATTATAAGGAAAAACTAAAATATTGAGGGGTTATTTTCAGGTGGTTGGATTGTAGGTAATTTTTTCCCTTCTTTATGCTTTTCTGCATTTTCTAAAACATCAACAAAGAACATGTGTTACATATTTTTTAAAATGGTAGGTTTATATATATAAATATATATATAAATAAAAACATGAATGTATAGGTGAATGATGATAAATATTTTTATTTTTTAATAAGCTTTTATTAGTGGCAAATATTCTACCACTTATGTTTATAATAGGAAGAAAAAGATTTTCAAAGAGCTTGTGAGTCATCATTCGCTCCTGGAAGGATACTCGCTCCTTTTACTCAAAACCTGGGCAAAAATGGCATGCGTGCTTTCTGGTGGCCTAAGATTCTGCTGCCAGAGAACAGAGCATAGAGGGGAAAGCAACAGGTCCTGGACCAGCTTCTGAATTAATGAAAGCTTAGAATTTCTGCAGTACTTTTCAATAATCTGAAAATACCTCAAGTGATTTTCACTCATGGTCATGAGTTGACCTTAGTTCCCTGATTCTCTAGAAAGTGTAGAAAAATCGGTTTGATGCATTAGAACAAGTACCTCCTAATTCAAACTCTAAGAGCTGTTCTCAGAATGAGAGCAGCCCACCCCACTCTGCACCCTCCTCTCTAAACCACCTTTTAATTTCTGGCCCTCTTTTTGTGTAGCTAGACATTTGTATCCTTCTTTCGCTGGAGACTAAAGTACGTACAACCATAATCTGGACTCTCAGTAAATATGCACATATTCTGTTTTATTTTTGTTTAACCATAGGGCTTCCTAAGATACAAAATGAAACACAAATCAGGTGTCTACATTTTTAGAGGGCGCCTGGCTGGCTCAGTCGGTAGAACATGCGACTCTTGATCTCGGGGTTGTGAGTTCAAGCCCCATGTGGGGTACAGAGATTACTTAAAATTTTTAAGAAAAAAAGGATATCTACATTTTTAAAGGCAGAGACTACAGAACCAATGAGGTATATATGATGATTTGTGCCAAAAGGTTCTCAAATTAGGCAAACAGAACCAAGTATTCTTACAGTGACATTTTTAAAAAGGTACAGGTAGGCAAATATCCTACATTTCTTATGAAGTTAGAAAAAGTTCCAACTTCAAGTGTAATCTGCACAAAATTTTTGGTAACGGATGAAGGGGTACACTCATGAATAGTTTCTAGAAAATGTCACCCTTATGCTCTTTCACAGACGCACATGGATTGAGTTGAGAAACAATGTGCATGGGAATGGCCATTCTTTAAATAAAACTTTATGTTTTTAGAGCTGTTTAAGGTTTAGAGCAAAATTGAGAAGAAGGTCATTTTTTTAAATATATTAAATAACCCAGCTCTATGGGCAGGCAAGTTTTGGTAGAACTTACCAGAAAGTGTCTGGCATATGTAACCTCGTTTACTGTCACATGTGTCATCCATCCATTTTCCTGCATCCCTTGATTTCCCTCCAATAATAACCACACAGTCAGCCTGTACATTTGTGGAGAAAGGAAAATAAAAAGCAGTGTGAATCAATAATTGTTTAAATCTATTCATTAATAAGCCAAGAATATCCCTCAAGCCTAACCACCAAATCTAAAGATCATCCTAATTCATTTACAGTCACTTTCAATTCATCCTTACTTTTCCATGCAACTGCTCACACTTTTCAAGGGAATCTCTCACACTGAACTCTTGCTATTTTTAATTAAAAATCAGATAGAATTGGATAATTTTAGAGACAGGTCTGAGAAACTTTGCTATCAGAAATGGTATAAATCTCTACCAAGGGGCGCCTGGGTGGCTCAGTTGGTTAGGCGACTGCCTTCGGCTCAGGTCATGATCCTGGAGTCTCTGGATCAAGTCCCGCATCGGGCTCCCTGCTCAGCAGGGAGTCTGCTTCTCCCTCTGACCCTCCCGACCCTCCCCCCTCTCATGTGCTCTCTCTCAAATAAATAAATAAAATCTTTAAAAAAAAAATCTCTACCAAAATTTAACAATAAAATGTTAGGAGAATACAATATCTTCTCCATATAAATTCTCATGATTCAAACCCCAAAATAGGTATCCTACTGTTAAAGAGAAATAAGTATAATCTATATTTTTTCATTGCTAATTTAATTTATACAAGTACCATTATGGATTCAGAGCAAATTGCTGGTGTGTAGCTAGAAAGTTTCACATGTTATTTGCAATCTTACAGGGAAGTATGCCAGGCTGGAAAGAGTTTTTTTATTTTTTGTTGTGAATATGTTTGCAATATCAAGCTTCCATAGGACAATCTATAAGCCAAAGCAAGTAAAGAAGTCAAGAAACCTGCCCCTGCCGAAGTTTTCATCCAGTGTCAGATGAAGATTTTGATTTATCATGTGTTGGGCTTCTTTAACCCATTGGTTCTAATAATTATAGCTCACACCTATAATATCTGACATTGTTCTAAGTACTATATACATATTAATTCCTGTAAACTCACATCCATCCTTAGTGGTTGGTCCTATGAGCATGCCCATTTCATAGATGAAAGATCTGAGGCGCAAGTTCATTGAGGCACAGGTTAACTTGCCCATGGTTACACAGCTAATAAATAAGAGTTAGGATTCAAACCCCAGGCACGCAGTCTCCTGGCATAGACCTTGGCCACTGTACTATCGTGCTTCTCAGCAAGTGAGGAATGCAAAGCATGCTGTGAGCAGGAGTGCTCCCCAGGAAGGGTTTCTTGTTGATAAACAGCCACAAAAGAAGGGAAGATTGCATATTATCTTGAATGGACAGAACGACTGGAACTTCTCTCCCAGGCAGTAATGAAGAGCTAGGCCAGCACGCAATGATGCCGAGCAGAAAGATGGAAAGAACCCCAATCCTTAGCTTTGTCCCCCCATTCCCTGATCCATGGTTGCAATGCCTTTGCAACCTCCCTGCCTCCAGCCTCATTATCCCATGAACTTCAACTTCCAGGAACTCCCAATCCTACATTTAGATGCTCCACTCATTCCCATCTTCCTTCTTAGCTATTCTTATCTTCCATTACCCTTGCTTACAGTCTGTGCTCTACTCCAGAAAACCTGTAGAGAGCAAGCATGTTTCCACCACAAAACCCATAAGAAAAGTTCTCTCACACTCTATTTATCACACTGTATTTAATCCTCGTCATTTTTCAAGTCCTGAAATTGTAACAACACAGTATGTGTGTTTTGATTCCATTTTTGAGAAATAAACTATTTTTCATGCACTAAGAAAAAGTCTAGAAATAAATTCAACAAAAAATTAACAGTGTTTTTTCCCTGGACGGTGAGATAGCAGATTTTGCTTTTGTTGTCTCTGCTTGTCTTTATGTTCTCAAAACAAAACAAAACTTGGGCAACAATAAAATTTTTTTGCTTTACACAAAATTCACCCCCATCCAGAAATTTTTCTAAGCAAACCTCACCTCACTCCATTCTACTTTAACTTCTTCAGTAAGTTTTTAGCCCTCATGAACGTAATGAAGATGCAAAGAATTTCTCCACAGAAAATCACTAACCCGTCATCTAAATGTATCTACCCTAACAGAGCTAACCCAATTAACTATCATAAAGGCACCATTTTGATCAGATCATTTTTCTGCTCTAACCTTTTCTCACTGCCCATCTGACAAAGTCCAAACTCACTTCTGGGGCAACTAAATTTCTCTAAATTCTGCTGTCAACCTTGCAAAGTTTACTCCTACTTCTTTTCTGTATAAAAACCCTGCTATATCCCAAGTCATTTTTCTCCTGCCCAGACCCACCTGGTGCTTTTTTCTTGAAGATTTTATTCACCTTGCCCACTTAGCATGGTCTTCCTCACCCCATATACCCAACTTTCCTGATCATTGTTTTAAACCTCTTGAGGAAAAGACCCATAGCTGATTTTTTTTTTCTCATATTCCTTCTCTTCATCAAATGAAAGCCTCCCTAAATAAGTATTGACTGATTAGATCACGTTATCCCACAGTAAGCTTCTTTCCTCTTAACTACTACAGGGCTTTATAACTGATCCTGTCATCATATACTTGCGTTTCTTACTCCCTTCTTTCCTGTATCAGACTTGTGGTCTTACATAAATGTAAGCTTCTTTAAGGTCAGAACAAAATCTGCCGTTTCTTCGTGTTTTTCTCAATGCCTAGTGTGGTGTTTAACATTGACTGGTTGGCTGTTAATTGATGCAAGATTAAAAGTACTACAATAATAACACACTCATCTGTCTCTTAGGTTAATATATAAGAGCACCTAGCACTGTGTTTGGCACATAGTAAGTATCCTACAGATAGCAGCTCAATCATGTTAACTTCTATCTTCGGAAGGAGTAGTTGCTGTCAGACTTACAGCCTTAATACTACAGGCTTCAAGAGTTTAGAGGCAGGTGATGCAAATAAAATTGATAACTCTGGATTCAAGTGTACCTCCTGACCGCAACATAGACCCAGATTGGAGCTGGCTTTCCCATCCCTTGATACCTCCATCACCTACCCCACAAGTTGAAGAGTTTGCAATTGAATTTATACCCCTTCTCTTAAGGCTGGCTCAGTCTGAAACACTTAAGATCTGCAAGAATGAACCAGATCAAGGGGAACTCTGGTAGATGTTTCACAGAAGATGAATCACTAATATGCAGTCAATAAGCAGCAGGCTGACAGTACACGGAGAGTTGACCTGAAACTGATATTTACATCTTCATAGGAAAGACTGCTCCTTCTTCCGCCAGGATAACCTTTGCCCCAGTTTGTATAATGAACTCCTCGCCCATCCGTCCAAAGGAACGTGTGCTCTGAATTCACATCATTCAGCCCAGTCCAGGCATTAAAAGCGGAGTCCTTCATATGATAGGTAAGAAATGCTGAAAGAAATTTCCACAAGATAATTTTAACCTTTGGGGGAAAATATTCAAAATATGGGAAAATATTCAAAATACATATTTGTAAAATACTGTGTACGTGATTAAGGTCTTTATTATTATTTAAAACCATTTACCATGAAAACAAACACATTCTAACCTTAATATCACCTTATCACTTCAGTTCGTACTTCGGAAAGTTTCGTATAATAAAAGTCTAGGTTTTATCTGGGCCACTGCAGACAGCTGGACAGACTGGGCCGTGCCCAGGGGCAGTGGGGAACTGGGACAAGGGTGGCTGAGTCCATCCCACGCCCTGCACGCCATGTCATACACCCCGATCTGGGCTGTGGCTGCCTGCCATCCTGCAGGAAGAGGGTACAGTTTCTAATTCACACACACTCATCCTATGAGTTAGCAGGTGTCCTGATTCTTTCAATAAGATAATCTGATCATAAGAACTAGGGGGCAAATAGGGCTCTTAATCCAGAAAACGTCTAAAAATGAAACCTACTTGTCAAAACAAGAAGCATGAGGCTGTCAAGTTATCACTACTTCGGATTTCCAAACCAAAAGAGCTACCCGGTTGGAACTCCCTCTCGGCAGCAACTGCTAAGGGGTCAGCAGCCATCCCACCCCATGTGCCCAGACCAAGGGGGCATCCTGACATTAAGCACTTGCATCATTAGGAGAGAAGATATAGAAAAATGCAGAGAATGTAGAGCCAGTGTGGCCTCTTTCTTCCTTGCCCGTTCTGTGGCACAGAGGAGGGTGGCAAATATCCAGAAGCTGTAAAAGGCTTCAGTGAACACGTGCCCCATCCCCTGTCTACTTGGCCTTGCACACGCCTCCCACACCAGCCGGCTGCCTGCCACAGCTAGCCACCTCGTCTGCCAGGAGCCGAGGATGCCCAGGTGAATGAGCACCAACTCAACAGAACAATTTCCAAACACTTACGCTTACACCCGACTCCTGAATGCAAATAGGATATGGAGTGACTAAGCATCCGGGTAACTCAAAGAAAATGCAAAATAGAGAGAAGCCCAAAGAGACACAATCATCTGTTTATTCATGAAACAAACAATTCCATGGAAGGGCCATGGTTACGTGTTTATTCTCCTGCTGGAGTAGCAGAGGAAATAACCGCTCTGCTCAGAGGTTTGCTTATTTCTCAACTAAAGTTAAAAAAAAAATTTTTTTTTTCTTTCAACATTTTTCAGAGGGAGAAGAGCATGGCTAGATATTTATTTTGGTTTTGTTTTATTTCCTAAATAAGATCTTAACTTTCCCCATCCCCAAATTAAAATGAATGTGGAAAAGCCCTACCTGCCAATATTTCAGCACTGACTTTTTTTTCTGCCAACAACCACAATAAGAATTCAACATCGTGTGCCTGGTTTGCCAGGAATAATGTTATTTTATCTGAAAATTGTTTCCTTCTGCACATCTCTATTACCCAGGTTCTAATTTTGTGATGCCAGGAATCAGCACTTTGTGGTTAAGAGAAGAAATCAATTATTATGTTTCTCTGTTGGGTAGCTAAGCCCAAAATGTGGTAGGCCAGTTAGAGAAATATGAATATTCTATTCTGAAAATGTTTCTATTGTGTGCTATGGTTTGACCCTTTTCTTTCAGGGTCTGGCAAGTTGCTGAACTTGACAAAGGCTCTCAGTGAAATCTTGGTTGATTTACTGCATCATGTGTTCCAAGAGAGCACATGGCTGCATTTGTGGAGGAAACATTTGAGAAAAGGCCATGGAAGGTTCCTGGGTCTTTCTTTTTTGTAGATTTTCTGAGACATACCATGTTTTCCAGTAAGCGATTTTGGAAGTCAAAGAATCTCAAAACCAGAAGGGAACTTAGAAATTATGCAGTTACTCATCTCCCTCTTAACATCTCACATAAATTCATTCATACAAATATTTATTGAACATCTTTCATTCTACGTTCCAGTCTGTGTGACTCTATAGCACCCAACTGAGAACTTTCCAACGTAATCATTTTCACAGCCTTTTAGAGAACTCACAAAGCAGCTCATTTAATCAGTTCTAACTGTTTCTTTGCCTCTTTGGTTAGATTTATTCCTAGGTATCTTATGGCTTTGGGTGCCATTGTAAATGGGATCGACTCCTTAATTTCTCTTTGTTCTGTCTTGTTGTTGGTGTAGAGGAATGCCACTGACTTCTGTGCATTCATTTTATATCCTGCCACTCTACTGAATTCCTGTATGAGTTCTAGCAGTTTTGGGGTGGAGTCTTTTGGGTTTTCCACATAAAGTAT